TCTACTCCTACCTTTTTCCTTATCTACTTAAATAGTTGCCCAACATAAGGGTTGAACGTGTTAATCAAAGTTCCCCAAATGCGTATAACACCGTCAGATTCCAATCAGATTCTACATTGCTAGACCAAACAAAAGGTAGAAAGGAAAATTGGCAAAGTAAATGGTAGAACGTAGAGGATTATTTAATCAGCGATATGTGGCCACAGGTGGCCGTGGAACCAGAGGAAACCCAATAAACCTTTAATCTTTTGAACAATTATATCGTATATATACGTATTATGTTGTGTATGTGTATATATGTATATGTACATACATATAACTTTGTCAGATCCCACGAACAAATTCTATACCACAAAATCAAACAAAAGGCAGAAAGTAAATAGTGAAACGTAGAGGATTATTTAATCAACAATACCTTCACCACCACGCACCAAGTAACCATGAATAAACTAAATGAAAGTAGATCATTAATCCCCAATATATATTTATGTTATTTTACTTAACATATATATATATATATATATATATATATATATATATATATATCAGAATAACATATAATACAATAAAAATGCAAGATAAATATACCAAATAATCATTCGTGTCAATACATTATTTTCAATAACGAATCATAACGCTTTTATATTCAGGGTTTGATTAAAATATCTCGTTGCATGTAAAATATAAATTACTGTAAAAATGACTGAAAAAAAAAAAGGGATTCTCATTAATTTCAAAAAGATAAAAGTCATCGAAATATAGTTATCCATTATAAGAATTAATCACGGAGCAACGAATTTTTTTACGTTGTCAAATCAAACGAGAGATAAAAAGGAGGGATTGGAGGAACAAATGGGAAGAGGAATTATTTAATCAGCGACATATCGCACAGGTGGATCAACTAAATGAATTCAATAGATCGTTCATCCCTTAAGCCAATATATACCAGAATAATATAATAATATAATAAAAATGCAAGTATCGTGGTAATCATTCTGAAATACACGTTCGATAATAAACCAAGGGATTAATATATTCTTATATCAAATATTCCAACATCTTGAAGTATGAATTATCATGATCAAAAATTACGAAAGAAAAAAAAAAGGAAGGGAAGGATCCCCCTTAATTTCGTCAAAAATTCATCAAAGAACGGTCCAAGCAAATTAATCACAGCTCCCCTAAATATCTAATCTACGTTGTCCGACCAAACACACGAGAGATGGAAAAGAGGGTTGGCGGAGCAAATGGTGAGATAGAGGATTATTTAATCAGCGATACCTCTCGCACCGTAAATCAACTATTCATCGGTCGAAACTCAATATACACCTATTCCACACGATTTCCTGCGAAAGGTCACGAAAAATAGAATTAATTCCCGCGAACCGCATGCGTCGTCTGTCCACTTTTTCATTCTTCCTTTTTCTTTCTTTTTTCCTTTCTTTTTTTTTTTTTTTTTTTTTTCCGTGGAAACGTGTGCACCGACGAAACGGAATCGGCGATTAAATTGTCGCTTCCCCGTAATCCGGGTGGACATCGGTCATAGGGCGTGCCATCGCGATCACCCGCCGCGATAAAAGTCATTAAAATGTCTCGAGATCGTCGTACACCCGCCGTTTGAAAATCGATACCGTGGTAATGAGTAAAAAAAAAAAAGAAAAAAAAAAAAAAAAAAGTTCCACAGTAATTACGCGTCACGACCTCATAATTAACCCTTTCAACCTGTGTGAAAGGTTAGTACGCGTTGTTGTTAACGGGGAGGTTTGGAAGACTACGCGATATCGATTCGCCGACGCATTGTGTTTTTCTAGGATGGATAATAACAGGTATGATGATACGTGTTGTTGGTTAAATAAATAATGATGTGTAATAATTGTCGAAGATAAATTTAATCTTTTAACTCTTTAAGAGAAATTGAATTAGATTAAATTGATTTTAAAGTTTTAGATAGAAATTTTCTGTCTCTCGTTGTTGCTGTTGGATCAAATATTTGAATTTGATCTTTTTTTCTTTCTTAAAATTACATTTTTCCTAGGATCATATCATATACTCGTGCATCATCGATTTTTATAAAATTTCATAAAGATGTTTATCGGATATATTTTCTATCGGATTGAATAAATAATTCTTCGACGATATTTCCTGCAAGAAGTATCGCGTTAAAAGCTTCGAGAGAAAAAAGAAAAGAGAAGCGGTTGTTTTTCGAGATGATAAATAATGTAATAATAAATTTAAAAAAAAAAACATGTTGTTTCCAATGCTACAATACTAAAATGTAAACGCGCAATAAAAAATTCAATATGTACAATTGATAGAATATCACGTTTCTTATTCGTACAAAACACACAACTCTCGTTATAAATTCTGCTTTTAATTATCAAGTTGGTAAACCAAAACGTTTTGTGGAACATTCTAAAATGCAAAGGATTGATACGATGAACTTTAACGAAACGAATATCTGTTAACACGAACGATTGTTTTGATACGAAAGTTGCTCCGTCAAACGAGAAATCTACAACCTGTTGTTGACGTCAATTAATTAATAAATTATCGCGCGATAGGATACTTTTATCGAGAGATACAATCGAAAACAATTTAAGCGTAAAATGCTTGTATATAATGTTATTTAAATATCGATAAACATTCGAATTTAAAATGCCCACGTTATTGCATCGTTGATTACACGGAATCATCTCCTTTCGATTCGGCATCGAAAATATTATCATCACGTTGTTGTAATTCGAAGCAACTCGCGTGGTTTTTCTCTTCTTTGCAATGATAATGTATACAGAGAATTGGTCCCCGAAGAGGTGACATATAAACGATATGGCAGATACAGAAATTGCTCTCCGCATCGATATTTCCATCGTCGTCTCTTTTCGATTTTTCATGCGAAAAGAAAAAAAAAATTCTCGTTTCTGATCGATTAGATTATTCACCGATCCATCGATCTTTTCTTCATCGAATTCGAAATTTGGATCTCTGGAAACAAAATCTCTATCGAACGAGAATCGATTTTTTTATTGCGTCAGGCAATAAAATTCTTGAAAATTTTCTCGATTTATCGATAAGCTCGAGGAAATACGATTCAATTCGATGTCTTCTGAATAGATTTGAATAATAATCGAATAATCAATCTGAATACGTGTAGAATGTTTAAGCGGATTAACTCTTTTGTTATGATACTTTCTGAAAGTTGAAAGCTCTTTAAACTCCTACTGAAAATTCATATTATTGCTGATAAAATTTTTAACATTTAATATTAAGGTCATGTTACGTGCTAGTAATTTAAAGATTATATGATTAGTAATAATTAATTGTTTTTTTTTACTATTTGATTAAATGCTTATATTAATTTTATTGAAAAATTAAATTCTTCTAACTTGGAAAATAAATCTCAAATGATATTTTTACACATGTACTTTTTTTATCGTTATAATCTCTGAAATAATCAACAATTCTCATTAGATATATATCGAGGTATAAAATTCTTTGCATCGTTCGTAAATAATAAATGAACGTATCAATCGATAGACCAGAATAAAGACCAGATTAGAATTAACTACTTCCTTTGTATTAATTATACATATATAACGGTATATAACGGATAGATAAAAATAAAAATAATTCTCTAATACATTATATGTCTTTCAGAAAATGATTACTCAATATTTGAGAACAAGTATGGAGCGTTAATGGCAAAAGGAAACGTCATAAAAGGGACGTAACCATGAGCGCAGAAAGCAAAGTGTTGACAGAGTTACGACGATGATTAGAGACAAAGTGGAATGGAAACAAAACTGAGTTTGCGCAAGTGTGTTTGGAAAATAGATGAATCGCGACTTTCGAAAATTAGTTTGAAAACGGCGGCGTGTTTGGTACGAGGGATACGGAAAATTTTCCTACAATTCTGCGTAGGAAAAAGGAAGAGGAGGAAGAGGAGGACGAAGAATTTAAATCCTGAAGGATGCGCTGGACGCGGCAATAAAGTCACACGGTAACACGTGACGAAATTAATTTCTTGAATGTTGACGCGGTAAATATTTGTCGAATGTTTTAATTTGGTCGAATGCAAGTTTAAACTGAAATAATTTCAAGGTGAATATTCCACGTTTGTTTGAAGATAAAAATATTCCGTTGAATAGGGGGGTAAAAGTATCAGACGTATAATTAGAGAGTCTTGTTGTGTGATCAGGGAACCTGAGATTTTAGTTTCTGATTATAGATTGCTACTATAAACAGAACTCCATGGTAGATTTATAAATACCATCATCGATCTAATATTACGTTATTCAGGATCAATGGTAGCATCAAATGGGTATACGAAAAGAGAAGACTAAAATTCTTGTCATTTACGTAGGACGATCGAGCTCCTCCCCACCCCTCCTCCTATCGCCACAGAAAGTTTCACCAATTTAGACCAATTCAGAATTCTCGATAATTATTGTAGGAGAGAAATACGTGTCTTACATTTATCAATCTGTATATCGTTTTATCGGATAACGAAGTTTTAACTCGATTAAAAAAAAAAAAAAAAAAAAAGAAAGAAAAAGTTTGAATATCTAAATTGAAAACAAAAGTCTGACCTTTCTCTAGACTTGATCGATTTTTTAACTTAAAGTTTCATATTTCTATTAAAAATAGAATTAAATTTTCATTCGAGCTCAAAACAACCGCGTTTTTTTTTTAATCTAAATATCAAAGTTCAAATTATCAAAAATTTTCCATGAAATCTCTTTAATTTTTCCAAAATTACAAATAATTTCTTAAGAATCTTCACAACAAGGTTTACATTACTTAAGGGATCCAAAAATTTTGCCAATTCTCAAATTTCCTTAAAAACATGATCGATAAAAAGATCTTCATCGTCTACTTCGTCGTCTCGCTTCCGATCAATCGAAACTCGAAACAATTCATTCGAAAAACGTACAAAAAACAATTCTCCCCTCCCCTCTCAAAGAAACGCAGGTGGCAAAGGCTCAGAGAGTGATTACACTTACCGATTTGCGGTACGTCGTACTGTATGCTTCCCCTGGTGGATCTGAGCATAAGTTGAGAAGCGACGCTGATACCGTTCCCGAGGGAGGACGGCGGTTGAGCTTGATGCGGGGCCGACTCTCCTGAGAGGTCGATTGAGCGGCGTCCAACAGGAGTTTGGCTCCTCTTTCCGGGAGGTTTGCCCGCGTCGAGGCCGAACAACGGTGGCCTCGGGACAAACGTCGCGGCATTCTGATAATCCCGTTGAAGCTTCTCGGATCCCCGTGACGTTGGGTCAGTCTTCATATTAGCAGCAGTGTTCAATTTCTGCTCGAAGAGATCGTCGTAATTCGATTGTCTGGCTTCTTGGAGGCCGTTCCGCCCCGTCGTCTTCTCGTCGTCGCACACTCTTATAGGCAGGCTGACCGTGTTCCTAGAGTGTCTACAGTCGATACGCAGCTTTTTGCCGCGTTGGCCAACCAACGGACCCCCAACGGCTTGTTGCTGTTGATCCTCGTGGAGAAAGTGGTCGGCCGGTTGCGAGGCGGCGGTGTTCACGTACTCCGAGTAGAGCGTGTTCAGCATAGCTGGGGACAGGGCGAAAAATACGGTCTGAAGCTCCCTCGGCTCCCTGATCATATCGTCGATCAATATGCCGGCTGGCGTCCACGAGGAGATCCGTGGCTCGTCGTTCAATAGGAGCCAATTGGACAGGTCGTCCCTGTGAGAGGCCTCGGGAGGATATATTCTGAAGTGCAACAGGTTATTGCCTACCGAATTCAACTCGCTCTTCTTTCTGATACCGCTACCGTGCCGATAGTCCTGCTGCTCCTGTGCACCCTGCATTATGATCACCGGACGATTGCCCACGGCCAGGTCCAGGCCTTGTCCCACGTACGTGAGAAGCCAAAACATGCACACCGCCATCATATATGTATACGTTTCCACCGGTTTTAACCGGGCTGGCTTTCGAATCGAAACCGAATAATACCGTTCCTTCCTTTCTTCCTTCCTTCCAGGCGTTTCTTCTTCGAGGATTTCGAGAGACTTTTATCTTCTCTATCTTCGCCTTTATTTTCTTTCTCTGTCTCTCTCTCTCTCTCTTTCTCTCTCTTTATTTAGGTATATAAATCGAGTGTCCCGATTCTACGCGTCCCACGCTCGTACTTCGGTTGCTTGCCAGTCGAAAGGCACCGGACTGGCTGAGTTTAGGCCGACTTTTCGTTAACTGGGCGGGGGAGGAAGCGACTCTGTAGGGCGCGACTGAGGGAAGAATAAACGCGGACAAATGAGCGATGACCGGCGATCAATCGATAACCGGTGTAGGCTTCCGTGTTACATGGGAAAACGACGTTTTCTCAAACGCGTTCGATTATTTTCGTTCTGTCTCTTGTCTTCCCACTTGGCGGCCCGTGTTCTTTCATCGAGCGGCACGTCTTCGTGAGGAAGAGTTTCCCTCGCAGATGACGACAGAGGAAAGCAAACAATGGGGGAACACCGCAAGTAACAACGATTCCCCCTCTATCAATTTTCGACTCGTTTCGTTCCACGGGTCGTTGCACGTTCGTACATCCGTCTGTACATCCGTTCAGACTCGCGTTTCCCAATATTCCTCCCAACGACACATCAAAGGATCTCGATTCCCCTTTCCTGAAATCAGGGCCGTTAATGAAAAAGGGATAGATCTTACAGAGTTTCGGTCTGCGAAAGGGTGCGTGTCTGAAGAATTATTATGTGCGGTGCCGTGATCAGTGGTGCTTGGTGCTGGTTCGTGGATGCTTATTAAGGTGCTCGACAATGAAACCCAATCGATCGGCCACGGTTACGTGCTCCTGATCGAACTATCTTTCTCCTCAGCTTTCTCGCTCGCTTACCCCTGTTCCTTTCTCTTCCCATTGCCTGCCGCACGACGAACGCTTCCACAAACAATTTGCGCTCTCCTCTCTCTCTGTCCGTCTCTCTCCCCCTCCCTCCCTCTCTCTCTCTCTCTCTATATATATATATATTTATAATATAACTACTTTCCTCACAAAACGTATTTTTCTCCAAAGATAGAAGTCCAAGTCTCCACAAGAGGAATTCTTTTCCCCCCTCGTACAGCAGTCACTGAATTGGCCCTCTACTTTGTTTTTTTTTTTTTTTTTTAAGGAGGTTGTATCACTTACTGTCGTCATCGATGATGATGATGATGATGATGAACACGACGATGATGAATGGAACGAAGCCAGTCTCGATTCTCTCTAGCCTCGGCGTAAGCCCAAGTCCAACTGTGTTCGGGAGGCGGATTCGGGTGCTTGCTCGTGTCCCGGTACATCCCATCACCAGTATATAACGAGATTTACGGGATATACACGAGATTTCTACGTGCTGTGAGATTTCGGCGTGCAGCTGTGACATCGAACTCCCCGAACGAGTTTTGAGAGAGTGCGGAAAAGTGGCTATGTAGTACGAGAGAGATCAACAGGTGCCCGAAAAATGTGCAAAACCGTGCTCCCGTGTACTAGGGGGAAGGGGAGAGGTGGAGGGAGGGTAGAGGGGGATGGGGGAGGGAAGAAGAGGAAGAGGGAAGGGGTTAATTAAGACGGCGGACGACACCGGTTGGTCGTCGTGACGTTGGAAACGGTGAAGGAGAAGAAGAACATCATAGTACGCACATCGATCATACCATCAGAGAGATAAAGTGTGAGACACAACACAGGCGGCGCGTGTAAACAGAGAATACAATATATATAAATATAAATATATATATATATAAATATAAAGAAACAAAGAAAGAAAAGAAAATTATGGAAGAAAGGTGCAATTGCGAAACATTACCAAGTGTCAATAATAAGTGTCAATAATAAACAACGTGTGTATGGACAGATGTGTGTCAGTGGCTGTGTATTTCTGTGCGAGATACTTGCTTCTGTGACTCTGCGTGCTGCGAAACCTTCTCCCTTATCCTCCTCCTCCTCCTCCTTCTCTTTCCCAAAATTGGGATCTTTTCTCATGCGATACTCTCTAACTATAAGATAGAACTTCTTTCTTTCCTTTGACTTCTTTTCCTCAAATCCAACGTTCTCCGTCGCACATAACAACACTTCTTCGTCTTCCAGTTGAATCCACGAAAATCCTCCGGTGTATGACGAGGTCTTTGAAACAAACTCTTTCGAACAAATCGTCGATCTCGTCGATCGAAATTCGTTTAATGTCAATTCTTTTTCTCTCTCTCTCTCTCTCTCTCTCTTTCCCTTCAAAACTCTCTATAATATTCTACAGTCTATAGAATTGTATTGTAGCTAGGTTCTTCTCTGTGTCACAAGCACCGTGTCATCAAGTTTATTCATCACCAACGGACCGGATCACGTCTTCCCGGATCACGCGAACACAAAATGGTGCGAACACCAGTCGGCTAGCATGTTGCTCTGTCAACCGCGTTCGGTTGATAACTCGTCGATCCACCGTCCACCGCGACGATGACGTAGATCCGTTGAAAAAAGAAAAAGGAAAAAGAGGGGGAAAAAAAAGAAAGAAAGAAAGAAAGAAAGAACGAAGCAACGGTACACGAAAGTGGATCGAAAGGTACGATCCACCGGCGGTGTCAATCTCTGTTTTCCACCTCTCTCTCTCTCTCCTTTCTCTTCTAATCCTCTCCGTGATATCGATAATCCGCCGTGATCTCGACGCGACCAATAATCGCGCAGTAACGTTAGCTCGTACGTTAAGTGCGAGCCGAAACGGCGACGGTTTTCAGAGAGAGAGGAAAAAAAAAAAAAACAGAAAGCACACTTTCCTCGAGGTTCAACTGCGTACAACTCTCTCCCCGACGAGGTTGTGTTCTCGCATGCTCGACTCGGCGAACTGAGTGTAGTAGATATACGTACGTGACTACGTATATGTATACGTAGTGTTTCTGGGTAGACGCGAAGGTGGCGAAGAAAAAAGGTGTCTCGTTCGTTACCGTGTTCGTCCCTTGTTCGTATCGGTCGCCGCCGGTTACTCGGATATATAATAACGCCGTTCGTTCGATCGTGGTTACGCGGGCCGGACAGGAAGTCGCGAAAAAACAGCGGCTACGGAGTCGGTGAAAAGGAGGTTGCGGCCGTGGATGTTGCTTTGTTGGCCGAAGGTCGAGGGATGGAGGATTGAAGGGTTGGGACGGTGGGTTAGTTTAGCGAGTGAGCTGGCTGGCGCCCTCACCAGAACTAACTCCCACGCTGCGCGGCAAGAGTCACCGGGTTTAATACACCGCGCATCTCCCCACCACCACCTCAGACACCTGCCACTCTCTCCTTTTCTCACCTTCGCTCCCTCTTTCTTTCTCCGCCTGCTAACCCGGCCCCGGCCACCCCGTTCGTGCATCGTTCACGCTTCCGTTCCGCATCGAGTCGCGGCACACACCGGCTTACACTTGTGCTTTCTTTTTTTTCTTTCTTTCTCTCCCTCTCTCTTTTTCCTTTTCCCTTCTTTTCCTCCCTTTCTCTCGTTTCGCTCTTCCTTTCCCCTATCCCCTTTGCGTTTTACGCTCGTTTGTTTTTTAACCGCTTCAATGCGAATATGATGCGAGTGGTATATATGTCTGGTCTGGGTAAGGAAGTTTGAATCGTGCAGTTTGGGATTGTACCGAGTAGGCGAGATTTCGCAAGCTTAACAGCTGTTGCTGTTGCGGGAAATTGTTGTTATTGAGAATGGGAAAGGAATTGGACGATCGTGAATACAAACAAAGGGGTGTATATTTTGAATTTTGGAAATTTTTCAAAAGTTGACACGTTGAAAATTACGTGACAGTTTTGTAAAAATGTTAAAATGATTTTAGATGTTTTAGGGAAGCAGTTGGTACGAACTTTTATTCCGATATCGAAATATATCTGTTTATTTTTTCATCGCCTTCATTATAATCGTTAGGTTGCTAATTCTGATGTAATGGATATCACATGAACGTATTACTTCATTTGTTTCGTGATTATTTTTCAATCAACTTATTAAGTTGCGTAGAAGTTAATTCCAATTTTTGCTGGAATGATGTTTTACGCTTTACAGCTTTGCCCATTTTATTCCCCGTTATTGTAAAGATGTAATATTCCACAATCGATGAACTCGTGAAAAGCGAGTATTTCACAATTTCGTCTGATGAATAAAAATATTGCAAAAAATTGCTTCTTTTGTTCATCATTTTATGTCTAAATTAAAAAAAAAAAAAAAAACTAAATATCAATCGTACATCCCGAAATTAGAATTCTGAGAGTTATCCAAACGCAAAGAACACTCGGTCTATCGATGTTCGATACTAATCCAAGAATAAAAGAAGCTAAAGCCTGAATTGATCAAAATCGGGTTCCAGTGGAAATTTTAAAGGAAAACAAAGATCCGTAAAATTCAATTTCCTCGTTCTTTCTTCATCGAATTATACGCGCCTATACGCACCAAGGGGAAAAATTTACTAACACGTAAGAAATTTGAAGATATTGATCAACCATACGTTTAGACGTATCGGATAGTCGACCCACGCGAAGGTACTTTCGAGGCCATTAAAAATTCTATCCAATAAACATCTCGCCAGAACTTGATATTCAACGATATCACGAACGATGAATATCTCTTGACAGCTTAAAAGCGGAATATACACGAAATCGTCGACACTTCCATTCACCATTGAATCGTATACGCTCGTTGAAACGGATTTTACAGCTGAAATATGCTTGACACGACAAGTGTGAACGCAAACTGGGAAGATTCGAATGCACGCAGGCCACTATGATTGATGAGCATCCATTCATCGTTGCAAACGCTTTACAAAGTTCAGCAAACCGTTATTTACTCGGCTTTCGCGTAAAGCTCGCAAGGAGAAAGAGAGAGAGAGAGAGAGAGAGAGAGAGAGAGAGAGAGAGAGAGAGAGAGAACGATCGTGGTTGGATTATTCGATAGACATCTCAGGTTAGATTTAATGCCATGAAAACAATAGGGCGGTTGGTTTAATGCATTGCTTTAATAACGAGTTAGTCAGACGATGATTGCCATAATACTTTGTTTTAACGTGTTGCGAGATGCGCTTCAGGATCTCTACTCGAGAGTTGTGCTTTCAACGCAGTTTAAGAGTTAATTTGGTTAAACATGAGAAATATATTTTTCATCGGTTTTTCATTGTTACATTCTTTTCTTTTCACCGTTTTAGATTTAGATTAAAATAGGAATAAATTTTTGATTCCTAATCAAATGTATTACTTATATTTTATAGTTTTGCTCAGTATATTCATTTCTGTACGTTTATATTTTTCTTGAATGGTAATAAGTAATAAGTAATTAAAGAGTTTATAAATGTATGAATTTCTCGCCACATCTCTTGAAATCAGTTTTTGATGAATTCAGAAAGTTGTTTACTTAACCAAGGATAAGTTTCTTGAGTTCCTGGGAAATATCTGGCGAACCAAGTGTCAACACGTTTCGAAGTGCTCACAAAGTCCAATAATTAGAGCAGTTTGACCAAGTTTCCATATCAACATGCTTCATAACCGTGTCTCTTTATTTTGACAAAGTAGTTACGAAGCCAGACGTATTGATAGTAAGTAAACATGCTCATGTTCGCAGCCTTTCATATTTTGTTTACACGTTCAGACGATATGAATTATGAAACCTATTGGACTTCATTGATCATCATCTACTTATTTCAC